GGTGGATATAGCTCACTAGCAGCCTCACACCGAGGACCTATCCACGTCATCATTTACCCAGAATTCTTTGCGTGTAAATAAAATGTCCCTTTCTCTGTAATATGTTTTTAAACTTTTAGTTTAAAAATTATAAAAACTAAACAGCTCTACAGTATTTTTACAGACTTTATTTTACAGTTAAAATATATGTTTATCAAATAAAGTCTAATGTTACAACTAATTATGGAACACTTTAAACACAAAACTGAGTAAAGAAATGTCAGCAAACATTATGGTTTTGGACACCTTATAGTCAGACTTTATACTCCTGAAAGACTGTTTTTGTTTCTTATTGTTTTGTCTGTTTTCATGGACCTTCTCTGTTTATCAAGTCTGACGATGATGAGGGGGTTCTACATGCCCCTCGGTTTGTTTTGGCCACCTTTCTGAATGAAACTTCTCTGGAGTGCCAGCTCCCCCTGGTGGACAGCCGGGCTCCTGCAGGCGTAGGAAACGGACCGGTGGCTCGCTGGCAGATCAAAGTTAGTCACGTCTCCAGCTGTTAAACACTGAAAACATCTGTTTGTGTCTTATTAGTTTTTTCCCTCAGGAGAGCTTTTGTTCCCAGTAATTCTTAAAACTTTTGTAGTTGTAGCACGATGGCTCGTTTTATTTACCAATTAAGAACAGAATCCTTTTTTCACAGATTTAGTTTCAGCTTGGCTCAGAAGGAACATAATAACGAGTTAAAATTGAAAAACAAGCTGAGAACCCTTTCTCAAAGTCGACATTTTAAAAATGTTCAGAGCTAGACCCTGTCCACTGAAACTATTTAAAGTTTTGACCCTATTGGGCTTTTTAATGTTTTTTCCCAGTGAGCCACAGTAATCAAGCTTCTGCTGATGGCAGGTTTCTAACGACGGCTACAGCTTCAGCAACTCCAAAATCCTGACTGTGTACGATGGAGCGTGTCAGACCTGCAGCCTGGACACGGACCTCAGCTGCACCCTGAGGGTGAGACTCCACCAGCTGCACTCTCATCCTTAAATCTCCTCAAGTGGAAACTCAGTATTGGAGTTTTTGATTACATGAAGACGGAGCAAAACATACAAACAGTTCTTTACTTTAACCCACTTTAACAAAGTAAATTAAGATAAAAATATTAATCTACTACTATTTTATTACTGATGCATGTTGCAGAGACTGTTCTGTAAATTTAATCAGGTTTTCTGCAGAATATTTATGTAAATGCTTAAAACACAAACCTGTTTGTAAGTAACTCTGATCATCTTTTTGTTTCTTTGTTGTTTCATCAGGATCGAACCTGCAGCATTGATGGGAAATGTTACAATGAAGGGGAGTCCAGTCCCAGCAGCCGCTGCCTCGCATGTCGCCCAGATCTGTCCAAACACACGTGGTCCAGAACTGAGCGTAGGTCCACAAAACTCCTCTGCTTTACCATAACACCATCGATAAAAGTTAACAAAGCTTCATTTATTAAACCCAAATCAAAAACTGAAGCAAAGTTTGCCATTTTGGAGTTTAGGAATCAGCCTAATTAGGCCCCCTGAGTGGAGAACATAAAGGCAGCAGATGCACTCTGCAACTAGAGACTTGACATTTTATGTAAAAATGCAGTGTGAATGGTTAATGTTGAAACAGTGCTGCAGAAAAAAAGATGTACAAAAATGTTGCAATTTGTTAAAAAGTACAAAAAAAGCTGAAATAAGCAAAAAAYTGAAAAGGTTGGATGTAGCACAAAGAAGCAGAAAAGAGCATGAGTTAAGCAGCAAGTAGCTGAACTCATCACATAAAGGTGAAATGAAAGCAGCTAAAATTATCTGAAAATAGCTAACGTAGCTGAAATTGCAGCAAACAGCTAAAAAAGCTGAAATTAACAAAAAAGAAGCAAAAAACGTATAACAGAATAACCGAAAAAGCATAAAAAAGCTAAATTTTACAAAGAAGAATCTGAAGGAAGCTGAAATTATCACAAAAAGGTGAATACAGCTGAAAACAGCTAATTTTTTTAAATAACTAAAGTTTAAATAGCAGCAGGCAGCTAAAAGAAGCATAAAAATTAAATTAGCAGAAAGAAGTTAAAGGAAGCACAAAAAAGTAAATTAGCAAAATAGCTAAAAAAAAAAACAACTAAAATGAGCAAAAACCAAGCTGAAGGAAACTAAATTATCACAAAAAGTTGAAATAACAGAACCCGAACAAAAGATGAAACGTGCAGGAAAAGTATTTTCTTCTATTCATTTTCAGTGAGAACAAAAATGGCAGAAAAGGCTAAATATGCCAAAGTATAAATTTCTTAAATATTAAAAGTCATAACCGGAACATCCTGACAGTTTTGATGCATAAATTGTTGAAATAGCACAGAAATTGTGGAACAAGAAATGTGCCAAAAAACACAAAAGAAAAGCGTATCATCTTAACTGTGAATGCATTATAGAATTCAGACTAAAAGACTAAATAAAGTTAATATAAGGAACCAAATAAGGAAAATATTAATTAAATATATTAGTTAAATTAATAGTCATTAGGATTTTGAGTTGAAAAGTGAAATTTTTGAATGATTGAGCAGTTTGAAGCTGTAAAACATCTTCAGCTGTCAGTAAAGAGCACATCTAATCCCAGTGAGAGCTGCTGTGGTAACAGCAGCTCTCAGCTCGTCTGCAGGCGCTTTGGATGAGTCGTCTGTCAGCAGCTCGCTGCAGATTGAACTGGGTTCTGTCTGCAGGCACTGATATGAAGACTCATTGTTCCACTTCCTGAACAACTTTCCTGCATCAGCTCAAACTGGGTCAGACAGTTCTGCTGTGACGAAAGGACAAGAAGTTTCACAAGTGTCTGGTCGTTGTGTTGCTTTTTAAACACCGGCGCTGATTCCTTTAATAAAAACATTAGTTTTATCTGTTTATTGTTTTTGCCTTCAGAAAACAAACCTCCGCTGTTCCAGTCGCCTCCATTTGGCCTTCGCTCCTTCCAGGAGGAGAATTTCATCTACCAGCTGCGAGCTGAGGATCCAGAGGGCGCCACGGTTCTTTTCACCCTGGTTTCAGGCCCTGAGGGGGCGTCGCTGTCTCCTGCTGGCCTGCTGAGCTGGAAGGCCACTGCTCACTCCGCAGACACACACATCATTCAGTTCACTGTGACTGACGACTGCAGGGCCGAGACCAGAGCCTCTGTTCATGTAAGATGGTCCTGTGGAAGAGAAAAAGAAGAAACATTTTAGTTTTTACTTACTGATACAGAAGTATTTGGAAATAAAGGAAACCTAAAATTTTATCTAGTAAAAGTGAGACAGAAAGCTCAGCTGCTTCCTGCCACTAGAGGGGGTCAAACTGTTCAAAAGATTCAAAATCAGTTTGTTTATTTAAAATGAGGTACACCCAAGGAGGTATAGAACAGCTGGAGCTCAGAAACCAGGTGACCGTGTGAGCGGCTGGAGAAGCTAACGGCTAACGCTAAACGGTCAAGAGTCTGGATTTCCCATTACTGTACATGTTGACAACAAAACAGAAAAAAAGGACTGACGATGCAGAAATCATTAAAACAACAATAATAATATTAACAAGATTATTATTAATATTTTATAGTTTATATAATCTATTTAATGTTTT